TCTCTCTCTCTCCCCCCCCTCCCTCCTCTTTCTCTCTCTCTCTCTCTCTCTCTTCGCGCGCTCTCGCTCTCGCTCGTCGACATATAAATCGACTATACGAATCGTACCTATAAATAATAAACGAACTAATGCTTCTGGTCTCATCGACGATAGATAGTGGATACCCGCGCGTTGTGATTACTCGTGTCCGACATCGAGAAGTGTGCAAATGAGTGCGTGTACATAATGCTCCTCCCCACCCTATCCCCTTTTCTTTCCTCCCCCGCATAGATCTAAGACACGATGGAAGGTTTCAATAAAAAGTACAACCCTTCGACGTAAAACTGTGTAAGACGATTTATTGTTGTACCCGATGCGTGGTTCGAGCGCCGACGGCTCGTGCTCGGCGCGCCGATTTCAATGGCCCCTCGCGATTGTTTCATTAGGGATAATGTCGACAGGACGATTACCATCGGAGGCGCGTCTCAGATTAACAAAGCGCCGGTGGAGCTATCTCATTGCCGCGACGCGACAACCGCATCGCTGTGTGAATGAACGATCCGCCGAAATTACAATACAATGGCCCAGAAGAGCCACTTGACGGATAGCTAGTGGATGAATCACCCCGCGACGGATGAGGCCATACGGCCCATGTGAAACGCAGTAGTCGCCGATCGACGACGTCTTAGTAATGTTTAGTTGCAGTGGACAGCTTCTTCTGGACACGCCGATGTTTATCGTAAACGTTGACTAGACAATATCGACTTAAGTTTTGAAATCATGTGCGTATCATTTGAAGAAATTGGTAGATCACGCGTTGAGATTCGCATGATTCAATGAAATTTTTCATACGAAATGGAAGATGAAATTTCACATTTCACGCAATGGAAATTTTTATTTTCCCTCTATTTTCTTACCCGGAATATATTTCTGCAATTCTATGCTATATCGTATACCATATCGTGTCATAATTATACATACACGTAAACGCGCACCACGATAAGAGCATATGTGGTCAGCATGAACAGGTATCATACACGGTATTGAAGAGACTAGTATTTATTTTATTATGTATGAAGAGAAGATGTCGGATCGTTCGTGGTAACGTTAAACGAAAAATGTTACGGCTATGATACATATTTTGGGAAAACAATGGGTGCGTTCAGCGAACTCAACAGTTGCACAACAGTTGAGTAATTCGTCAATGTAATTGATCTAGATTTAGGGATCTAACAGTAAGAACCAATAATCGTTGATTGTTCATTGAGCGCTTTTTCTGCTGAACACGCCCAATAATGCATACAAAGTATCAGTATTTAGTATCGTTTATTGCGCGTTCACACCAAAGCGTTGTCTATTTCTCTTATAATCACAGAAAAAAAGAACGTCTGACCCACCGTTGAGTAGTACTACTTGATAAAGTGAAGGCGTAGAAAAGTCATAACAACGTGAACAAATTGCATTCACAATCGTCTTCTTCGAGCTGATTTTCTGTTGTATAAATTCGTGGCTGATTTCATACGTCAAACTGTTGCAATTCAGAAATCAAGTTATATATGTATCCTTTTATAATCTTAATATTTATATATATATGAAAGTTTATTAAATTTGCAACTATGACAAATGCAAAACCCATGAATATGGATCTCTCGCAAGTACTCAAATGACAATTTGGTTTTTATAATATCTTAGTATAATCTTTTCTTTAACAGTCGGAAAAGAATATATTTTATTGTAAATATAAATGTTAAAATAGCATTGTAAACTGTTATATATTCAACAACAAAAAATCGTGCATGATATCGAAATAATAAATAAAATAAATTATAATATACGCAACTTTATGTATCCGCACAAACACTGATCAGACGTTAGAAGATACCGATGATGTCGAAACTTTGGATTATTCATACGCGGATACATGGAGGGATTACGACAAATATAATATCTATATGGAAAAGGAAGAAGAAGAAGAATCGGAAGTAACTGACAAGACTGACATAGTAATAGATCAAATAATGGGAGTCGAAGCGGAAGAAGTAGGCGAAATGACAACCAAGATTGAAGAAAAGGATGAGGAATCGCGTCCAATCGGGGTAACTTGAGCTTGATATCTATAGCTTAATAGGGCACTTTAACAAATATGAACGAAATATTTCTTTTTGTTCCTTCTTTTTCATCTTGTTCTCTTGATTTTTTTATCTTGTTCTCTTGATTTATTGCTTGACGAAAGGATATCAAAAATTAAGCTGCAAGATCGCAAATAAATCTTGAGGACGTTTTCCCACAAAATCATATTTGATCTCGATCGATCCGATTTGTGTAACATAAGGTAGATTAGGAGAAAAGTGGACGTCACCAAATCCGAAGAGACGTTGATTACGCCAGAGGAAGAGGTCTCCATCGCAAGCGAGGAGACGACCACCGAGAGCTCGGTCCATCCGTGTCTGCGCGACATAGACATCAGCGATTCCCAACTAAAACTGGTGAATCCTTACACGGTGTATCCAGTCCCGCCCGACCCCGGATTAATACCAGCTCTCTGGTTGTTGCACGAGCGTCCGCCAATCTACCAAGACGACTATGGACGGAAATATTACGACGCGGCAAAACGTACCGGCTCGAGACCGATCGAATTATTGAGACACATGCTCGTGACCGACGAGGTGAACTTGCGCTATTATGGACTCGAATCGCGAGCGATAAAAGCGATTTGCGAAGGTCTGACAAACAACACCTTCGTGAGGAGAGTGGATCTCAAGGTATGAAAGTGCAAAAAACAAATAACTTTCACGATTTTGAATTTGTAAAATTTTTCTTTTACGTAATATTGATTAAAAAAATGTTTCAAAATATAAATTAAAGGTGATTCAAGAATAAGTTCTTCAAGATTCTGTATTAATACGTTGAATATAATGACGATTATTTGCAAATAATATCACGTTTCATTAAGTTACATATAAAATATAATTATCTCTAAAAGATACGGTCAATGGAGAACCGATGGAATAAAGTGGAAATGTGTACGTCTTAAATTAATTTATCGTACCTTTAATGATTCAATCATCAGTTGAACTTTTCTGTAACCAACGCGGCATTCAATATATTGACATATGATCGGTGTCGAACATGTTTATTTCTGCTTTTCTCTTCTTAACGATTGCTCGTAATTTCCATTGCAGGACAACAAGCTGTCTGAGGAAGCATGCGGGCACTTAAACAAGCTGCTGCTGGAGAACAACGCGATCACCAGCCTGTCGTTATCAGCGTGCCGAATCGGTGCAAATGGCGCGAGGAAGTTATACGACGCGATATCGACGAGCACGACCTTAAAGACGCTCGATCTTGACGACTGCGACATTGGGAACGAGGGTTTCAAGCATGTCGCATCCGCAATATCTGACAGTTCAGCTCTGGAGAGCGTTAATCTGTCGGGAAATGGTCTGGACGAGTCGTGTTCCGGAGATATGCGGGACCTGCTGTCACGCGTCGACACTCTGAAGCATTTGGACCTGTCCTGGAACTCCTTGCACAGAACTGATACCTGGAAAGCTCTGACAGACGGGCTCAGGAAAAATGAGACGCTGCTTTTCCTGAATTTGTCCTGGAACGGACTCGGATCGGAGTGCGTGCCTTATCTGTGCCAATTGCTGTTGCAGTCACAGAATATCGAGAAGCTGAATCTTAATTGTAAAAGCTTGATTCATCTCGTATATATTTAACTGTATTTTCTTTTTTTAACGATAATATAAACGGGGGAAAATATTAATTAACACCTAATATCTAATACTAGACATTTTAGATATTGTTAATTAACTAATTTTCTTCCCCGCTTCCCCGTTTTTAGTATCACTGAAAAAAAATAATCTAGATATTAAGTACAATGTTATGTAGTACAATCAGTTGAAATTATTTTTAAGTTCTCGCGATGAAATATCTTGAAATGTAAATGCCCTTTATATTTGCTTCGCGTTCCGCAGGGAATGGTTTCACAGAAAATGATGCCGTGCACATCGCAAGAGCTCTAACGAAAAATAATACGCTTCAAGAACTATATCTGGGCAACAATCCTTTAAAGGCACAGGGTGCTTTAGTCTTAGTTCATGCAATTGCATCGTCCGATATTATTTTACGCTTTCTGGACTTGGAGAATGTTTGGGCGAATAAGAATATCTTGCAAGAATTGGAAACGATCAAAGAATTCAAGCCGGAAGTCGTAGTGAAGCTAGGCGGTATTCTGAGCAATTATCAGCTTGTCGGACCGAATGAGAGAAAGATACTTCTGAGAAGAGCAAATTACGAAGCAATGGCGCCGAAAAAAAAGAGGCAACGACGGGACTTCGGTCATTTTGTGATATCACTGAAAAATATTGAGATTTCTCGACGTACGTTTGGTGATAATTACGTTACGTTATAATCTCTTATTCAATTTTCCACAGAGTTATGAAAAATATACAGTTACTTGTACCATGAATTTAAAAAGAACTGTTTTTTTTCTTGTAGCAAGATTCACAGCTCTGGTAAAGAAATTTAAATTGAAACTCTCGAAAACACTCGTCGAAGAGATTATGAATGTATTCGAAGGGACGAGAAAAAATACTGTTGATCAAGGATTATTAAAATCATTTTATCTAAAAGAATATCCGACAACAAGAGTACCAACGCAGAAGAAGAAAAAAGGTGTTAAATGGACAGAAAAGAAGTGACAAGAGGATGAAAGTTAGCAACTTAAGAAATGAGAGAAAAAACTTAAGGGAGTATACTGTGAGATACTTAATTGACCTTCCTTTCTTTAACAATTCTTTTAATGTGTAAATTGTCAAACTTCAGAAAATAAGCGTAAATTGTCAAACTTCAGAAAAAGTGTACGTGTCTAAAATATATCAAAATTACAAAACAGTTAATTGCATAATTCATTATCTAGTGATGAAGGAACCTTCATTATAACTTCTCAGATGGAAGGATTCCGAATGTACGTGTGTATATATATATATATGCAAATAATTGCGAGATCTTAGTATCTCTCTACATATTGTGTTACGTGTGTTTTACAGTGCAAATTTCAATATAAAATATCATTCTTTAAAGAAATGCTATGTTTAATGAGACGACAAATACTAGTTTTAACAGACTCGTGAATTTAATTCAATCTATATAGAATATTCTCGCTGCAATATCATCCACAATCCAGTTGATGCCATCTTCTAGGTTCTCACCCGTTACAGCAGAGCACTTGTAAATTTGCCAGTGATGTGTCTTTATATTAGGTAACTCCAAAATCTCTGCTATGTCAGATGCAGATAATGCACCAGGCATATCTTGTTTATTGGCAAACACAAGGAGACTCGCACCCTCCAACCTCTCCTCTTGCAATAACTTGTACAACTCTGTCTTGCAATCATCCAGTCTTCTTCTGTCTGCACTGTCTATTACCCAAACAAGTCCATCTGTAGATTCAAAGTAGTTCCTCCAGTATGAACGCAATGATTTCTGTCCACCAACATCCCATATATTGAGCTTGTATCCACGATGCTCCAATGTTTTAATATTAAAACCAAGAGTTGGCGATATAGTGTCTATCGGTTCACCATTGAGTCTCTTTAGCACTGTCGTCTTGCCTGCATTATCCAAGCCTCTGAAACAAAAAAAATCCAATGCTAATATAATTGAATATGAAATATTTTCCAAGAAGTGTTATAACCTATGTATATGATAACTTTACTTCTAAATATTGCTGTAAAAATATTAAATTATTTAATTTATCGCGCACTCAATTAATGAGGAATTATTAACCTGTGAACATGTAAACCAACCACATGCTAAATAAATAAAATAGGTACACAAACATATATACGTACAACATTAAAATGCGCATTTCCTTTTCTTTTTGTTTCAATTTTTTCAATACGGTTAACAAACCCATTCTCTGTCGTTAATTACAATTCACAATATTCAGACCATTCTGACGGTCTGAATCAGACCATTGATAAATATTTACGTTTGTTTTTTCCAGTTGAACTTCTTGCACTAGTTCAAGAAGTATACTGCACACGCTGATACGTTCTTTCTAGTAGAAGTGACTAATGAAGAGGTTAAGCGGGGTTTACAATAGAATTGTAAAGTCGTAAGACGTAAAAATTGACCAATCGCGATCGAGTATGAGAAGAATAATCGACCGCAATTGGTCAATTTCTACGACTTACGACTCGACGATTTCTATTGTAAACTCTGCTTTACTGTTTTTTCCGACGGAAAGAACAGATTATTACAAGAATAATCAACTATTACAAGAATAATCGACTATGATTATTTACTATTTATATTTTACTACCCACTGCCAATCTCATTGTGGATGGCCCTTAAGCGGGCGATTATTCTTCTCATACTTGATCGTGATTGGTCAATTTTTACGACTTACGACTTTACGACTTCTATTGTAAACACCTTAAATCCTTCACTATTTAATAAAACGAATATGTATTCCATCCATCGTTTAATCGTATCACGATCTCAATTTCTTGTTCAAGGAAGTGGCGTCTCACAGCAGCGACTTTGAAACTAATTTGCAACGCCACTCAGAAATAACGGGTCCAATAACTCATTATACCCTTTATTTGCTCATATCTAGCGCTCGGCCGGCGTTGATTTCGTCTCGTGAATTGGCAACCCTAGTTTAGTAAATGGATCGCGACGTGACGGTTAACGTACTTTGATTGTAAGAATCGTCTCGTTTCCTCGATTTTGGCTCGCCGAATGTGAGTCTCGTGCCCGAATCATCGCCGGAAGTGTTGAAAGTAAGTGTTGTGAGTTTATCGTGACGACATATCGCCAATAAGCGCCCGAAATGGGTATATACGGAACAAGCAGTTTACGCCTTTGAATAGAGTAACGCCCGTTTGGGCATGATATTAATGGCCGTTGGAAATACGAGTCGTCAATCGTTGTTCTTCGCGATACCGATCCGTCAGAGGAGAATAATGTGCGCGAATATCGTCGGGAGTGCTGAAAGTAAGTCGCGCGTCCATCGTGACGAGATAACGTCAATAAGTATCGAGAATGGCTATGTAACGGTACGGATGATCGGTAGTTTCGAGAAATATATCGCATGTTCATCGTTAGTGGCGTTTCAAAACAGAATTCGTCTGTCGTTGCTCTCGTCTCTTTGACCCGTTGAAGAAAAGATGTGCGCGAATATCGTCGGGAGTGCCGAAAGTAAGTCGCGCGTCTATCATGACGAGATATCGTCAAATAAGCATCGGGAATGGCTATGAATAGGTAGTACGGGTAGTTCCGAGAAATGTACCACATGTTCATCGTATTAGTGGCGCTTCAAAACGGAATTCGTCTGTCGTTTCTCGTCTCTCTGATTCGTTGGAGAAGAATGAGTGCGCGAATATCGTCGGGAGTGCCAAAAGTAAGTTTCGCGCTTTTATCGTGACGAAGTGTCTTTACGTAACCGTCCAAAATAGATATGTCGCGAGATAAGCAGTTAGAAGTTCCAAAAAAAGTATTGCGCATCATAATATCAGTGTTGCTATGAAGCAATTTTCGGAGTATCATAACAGAGCAGCCGGGAGCTCAGTGTCAAGATGAGAATACTAGTTTCAACGCCAGTGTTAATGGCAGGATGGCAATATCAGTGTTGGTGTCAATGCCAGGATGGCAATATCAGTGTCAGTGCCAATGCCAGGATGGCAATATCAGTGTCAGTGTTAATGCCAAGATGGCAATATCAGTGTCAGTGTCAATGCCAAGATGGCAATATCAGTGTCAGTGTAAAGACTTATATCAGAGTTAAAATCCTAAGCGAATATTTAAAGTGTCACAATGGAGCAATCAGAAGGTAGAATGTTCAATTGGAAAGTCAGGATGTAAACCACACAACAAGATAATAGTATAGTATTAAGTTAAATTGCATGTATTTGTAACTCCGTTAATTTTTAATTATTCTTAAAACTTTCTCGTAATTAGTAGTAGTCGATAACACGTACAACAACGTTAATAATCGGGTCGCAACTCCGTTAATTTTTAATTATTTTTATAACTCTCGTAATTAGTAGTAGTCGATAACACGTACAACAACGTTAATAATCAAGTCGCACGACAATAAGTTATGTTGATTTTAGATACGATTCTTGTCACTTATATATTCAATTGCATTTATTTGATGATCTTGCATTTTTGGGTGGGATTATTACTAATTTTTGCGCTTAAAATCTCAGCAACAACCGAAGCTCCATCGATGCGACTATAAAAGACATAAAAATTTTTTATATTTTATTTATAGACTACACAATATATTGACAGACGCGGATTGCTATTAAATAATATATTATTCTTGCATCTTTATTAATTGAACTTAAACGTCAACAAGGATTACATTTTAGATAAATACGCAAAAATCTCAGTTTTCTACTGAGACGTACCCCAAGTTTCTACGACATATAGAAACAAAGATTTTAATTGTATTGAGCCTAACGCTTTAGATCGATCTTCACACTTCAACCAAGCTCGATCAATGTCGCCAGCTTGCTTGAAGCCTGATCTGCAATATGCTCTTTGCATTCTGTTTCTTGTCTTCTGTCTTTTTCTGGCTTAAGCCTGATCTACAATATGCTCTTTGCATTCTGTTTCTTGTCTTCTGTCTTTTTCTGGCTTAAGCCTGATCTACAATATGCTCTTTACTTCCTGCTTCTTTCTCTTTATCTCTTTCTGATTCAAACCTTAAGCTTTAAGCCAGAAAAGATAGAAGATAAGAAACAGAATGCAAAGAGCATATTGTAGATCAGGCTTTAAGCTTAAGGTTTGTCAGAAAGAGATAAACAGGAAAAAGCAGGAAGCAAAGAGCATATTGTAGATCAGGCTTTAAGGTTTGAATCAGAAAGAGACAAAGAAAAAGAAACAGGAAGCAAAGAACACATTGTAGATTAAGCTTAAGGTTTGGATTAGAAAGAGATATAGAGAAAGAAACAGAAAGCAAAGAACACATTGGGTGCTTTCTATTTAATAACACAAGTCGACACAAGCACCATCCTATCTTAGTTACTCATTGAATATGGAATAAAGACAGAATAATGCTTATGTCGACTCGTGTCATTAAATGAAAAGCATCTAATGTAGATCAAGCTTAAATTACTTGGCAGCTATAGAAAAAACACCTCCTATTCTCCAGTCACACATCGTTCGCCTCATCATCCAAATAGCGGTAAGCGATCAACATAATGTAACTCGATATGATCGACGATGTTTCTTCCGTAGGTTCAAAGAAACTTTGAATAAGATCTCTTTTAAAGATGTCGCCGGCACGTTTAAATTTCTTGGAAGCTATAGAAAAAGCATCTCCTATTCTCCGGCCACGCGCCGTTTGCTTCATCGTCCAAACAACGATAAGCGATCAACAAATTGTAACTCTATACAATCCTCGATGCTTCTTCCGTAGTAGTTTCAAACAAACATCGGATAGGACTCCTTTGAAAGTTGAAATATTTTCTTATCTGTCTTAAGACCGCAGTCATTTTAATATGCAATATTAATTAGCAAAATCCGAGAAAAATGAAATGCCTCTCATACCGACATCACAAAATATTCATAATACTCAAGGTTCCTCTCTTTTACATTATATTTTTGTCTACTTGAAATTTTACCTGCATGACTTACCCAAAACTTTTCGAGTTTATTTATTGAGAACGCAGGACACTAAACTAATGCTTATTATGACAATACAAGAGACTCATTATCAGAAATTCTTTTCAAGGCTTATAATTCGAAAACGCGTGATGGGACGGGAATGAGGTCGATGACTTATTTTGATAGGAGAACAATATCATATGTTTCAAATTTTTTCATCGCACCCTTGGAATCTTACCTTTCTGACACCTGACAATCTTTCGAGGCTGATTGCTCGAGAACGCATGATCGGACAACAAAACAGTTTGCACCGCGATGTCTTATTTAGACCAGAGAATGTCACCATATGTTTCAAATTTTTTCATCGCACCCTTGGAATCTTACCTTTCTGACACCTGACAATCTTTCGGAGCTGATTGCACGAGAACGCGTGATCGGACGAGAAAACGGTTTGCATCGCGATGTTTTAGTTAGACCAGAGAATGTCACCATATGTTTCAAATTTTTTCATCGCACCCTTGGAATCTTACCTTTCTGACACCTGACAATCTTTCGGAGCTGATTGCACGAGAACGCGTGATCGGACGAGAAAACGGTTTGCATCGCGATGTTTTAGTTAGACCAGAGAATGTCACCATATGTTTCAAATTTTTTCATCGCACCCTTGGAATCTTACCTTTCTGACACCTGACAATCTTTCGGAGCTGATTGCACGAGAACGCGTGATCGGACGAGAAAACGGTTTGCATCGCGATGTTTTAGTTAGACCAGAGAATGTCACCATATGTTTCAAATTTTTTCATCGCACCCTTGGAATCTTACCTTTCTGACACCTGACAATCTTTCGGAGCTGATTGCACGAGAACGCGTGATCGGACGAGAAAACGGTTTGCATCGCGATGTTTTAGTTAGACCAGAGAATGTCACCATATGTTTCAAATTTTTTCATCGCACCCTTGGAATCTTACCTTTCTGACACCTGACAATCTTTCGGAGCTGATTGCACGAGAACGCGTGATCGGACGAGAAAACGGTTTGCATCGCGATGTTTTAGTTAGACCAGAGAATGTCACCATATGTTTCAAATTTTTTCATCGCACCCTTGGAATCTTACCTTTCTGACACCTGACAATCTTTCGGAGCTGATTGCACGAGAACGCGTGATCGGACGAGAAAACGGTTTGCATCGCGATGTTTTAGTTAGACCAGAGAATGTCACCATATGTTTCAAATTTTTTCATCGCACCCTTGGAATCTTACCTTTCTGACACCTGACAATCTTTCGGAGCTGATTGCACGAGAACGCGTGATCGGACGAGAAAACGGTTTGCATCGCGATGTTTTAGTTAGACCAGAGAATGTCACCATATGTTTCAAATTTTTTCATCGCACCCTTGGAATCTTACCTTTCTGACACCTGACAATCTTTCGGAGCTGATTGCACGAGAACGCGTGATCGGACGAGAAAACGGTTTGCATCGCGATGTTTTAGTTAGACCAGAGAATGTCACCATATGTTTCAAATTTTTTCATCGCACCCTTGGAATCTTACCTTTCTGACACCTGACAATCTTTCGGAGCTGATTGCACGAGAACGCGTGATCGGACGAGAAAACGGTTTGCATCGCGATGTTTTAGTTAGACCAGAGAATGTCACCATATGTTTCAAATTTTTTCATCGCACCCTTGGAATCTTACCTTTCTGACACCTGACAATCTTTCGGAGCTGATTGCACGAGAACGCGTGATCGGACGAGAAAACGGTTTGCATCGCGATGTTTTAGTTAGACCAGAGAATGTCACCATATGTTTCAAATTTTTTCATCGCACCCTTGGAATCTTACCTTTCTGACACCTGACAATCTTTCGGAGCTGATTGCACGAGAACGCGTGATCGGACGAGAAAACGGTTTGCATCGCGATGTTTTAGTTAGACCAGAGAATGTCACCATATGTTTCAAATTTTTTCATCGCACCCTTGGAATCTTACCTTTCTGACACCTGACAATCTTTCGGAGCTGATTGCACGAGAACGCGTGATCGGACGAGAAAACGGTTTGCATCGCGATGTTTTAGTTAGACCAGAGAATGTCACCATATGTTTCAAATTTTTTCATCGCACCCTTGGAATCTTACCTTTCTGACACCTGACAATCTTTCGGAGCTGATTGCACGAGAACGCGTGATCGGACGAGAAAACGGTTTGCATCGCGATGTTTTAGTTAGACCAGAGAATGTCACCATATGTTTCAAATTTTTTCATCGCACCCTTGGAATCTTACCTTTCTGACACCTGACAATCTTTCGGAGCTGATTGCACGAGAACGCGTGATCGGACGAGAAAACGGTTTGCATCGCGATGTTTTAGTTAGACCAGAGAATGTCACCATATGTTTCAAATTTTTTCATCGCACCCTTGGAATCTTACCTTTCTGACACCTGACAATCTTTCGGAGCTGATTGCACGAGAACGCGTGATCGGACGAGAAAACGGTTTGCATCGCGATGTTTTAGTTAGACCAGAGAATGTCACCATATGTTTCAAATTTTTTCATCGCACCCTTGGAATCTTACCTTTCTGACACCTGACAATCTTTCGGAGCTGATTGCACGAGAACGCGTGATCGGACGAGAAAACGGTTTGCATCGCGATGTTTTAGTTAGACCAGAGAATGTCACCATATGTTTCAAATTTTTTCATCGCACCCTTGGAATCTTACCTTTCTGACACCTGACAATCTTTCGGAGCTGATTGCACGAGAACGCGTGATCGGACGAGAAAACGGTTTGCATCGCGATGTTTTAGTTAGACCAGAGAATGTCACCATATGTTTCAAATTTTTTCATCGCACCCTTGGAATCTTACCTTTCTGACACCTGACAATCTTTCGGAGCTGATTGCACGAGAACGCGTGATCGGACGAGAAAACGGTTTGCATCGCGATGTTTTAGTTAGACCAGAGAATGTCACCATATGTTTCAAATTTTTTCATCGCACCCTTGGAATCTTACCTTTCTGACACCTGACAATCTTTCGGAGCTGATTGCACGAGAACGCGTGATCGGACGGAAATACGATTTGCGCCGCGATGTCTTACTTCGGCAGGAGGATATTATCATGCGTTTCAAAATTTTTTTTCGCACACCTGGAATCTCACTTTTTTGACACCTGACAATCTTTCGGAGCTGATTGCACGAGAACGCGTGATCGGACGGAAATACGATTTGCGCCACAATGTCTTACTTCGGCAGGAGAATATTATCATGCGTTTCAAAATTTTTTTTCGCACACCTGGAATCTCACCTTTTCGACATTTGACAATCTTTCAGCGTTTATTGCTCGAGAACGCGTAATCGGACGGAAATACGATTTGCACCGCGGCGTCTTATTTCGGCAGGAGAATATTATCATGCGTTTCAAAATTTTTTTTCGCACACCTGGAATCTCACCTTTTCGACATTTGACAATCTTTCAGCGTTTATTGCTCGAGAACGCGTAATCGGACGGAAATACGATTTGCACCGCGGCGTCTTATTTCGGCAGGAGAATATTATCATGCGTTTCAAAATTTTTTTTCGCACACCTGGAATCTCACCTTTTCGACATTTGACAATCTTTCAGCGTTTATTGCTCGAGAACGCGTAATCGGACGGAAATACGATTTGCACCGCGGCGTCTTATTTCGGCAGGAGAATATTATCATGCGTTTCAAAATTTTTTTTCGCACACCTGGAATCTCACCTTTTCGACATTTGACAATCTTTCAGCGTTTATTGCTCGAGAACGCGTAATCGGACGGAAATACGATTTGCACCGCGGCGTCTTATTTCGGCAGGAGAATATTATCATGCGTTTCAAAATTTTTTTTCGCACACCTGGAATCTCACTTTTTTGACACCTGACAATCTTTCGGGGCTGATTGCTCGAGAACGTGTGATCGGACGGAAATACGATTTGCGCCGCGATGTCTTACTTCGGCAGGAGAATATTATCATGCGTTTCAAAATTTTTTTTCGCACACCTGGAATCTCACTTTTTTGACACCTGACAATCTTTCGGGGCTAATTGCTAGAGAACGCGTGATCGGACGAGAAAACGGTTTGCATCGCGATGTTTTATTTAGACCAGAGAATGTCATCATGTGTTTCAAATTTTTTTATCGTACACCTGGAATCGCACTTTTTTGACACCTGACAATATTTCAGCGTTTATTGCTCGAGAACGCATGAACGGACGGAAATACGATTTGCACCGCGACGTCTTATTTCGGCAGGAGAATATTATCATGCGTTTCAAAATTTTTTTTCGCACACCTGGAATCTCACTTTTTTGACACCTGACAATCTTTCGGGGCTAATTGCTAGAGAACGCGTGATCGGACAACAAAACT